ATCTAAGCAATAGCTGAGAGACTATCTTAAATGCACTTCCCTTATAATGATATTCATGGCTACCTTATATGCTATCATAGAATCTTCGTCCAGTAGGTGATGGATACAAAAGCAGATATCCATAGTTAAGCACTGGTTCGAATTTCTGGAATTCAATTTTAGAGAGGGAGGAGTAATGAACAAAGGGATCAAGGCCATGCTGAGGAAACCCACAGAAATTCCTGACCTTAACAAGGGAGAGCTCATGGACCCCAGAGTGACAGCTTGGAAACCAACATAGAATGGATCCAGGTCTCCTTCATGTGGGTGTCAGTTAGGAGGCCTAGGCAGTCTTTGGGCCCCTGATAATGGATCAGCATTTATATCTAGTGTACAAATGGACACTAGGAACCAATTCCCCATAGAGTGATAGTCTCTCAGCCTAGCACATGAGAGAGGGCTTAGGTCCTGCCCCAGATAATGTGACAGACTTTGATGATCCCCCATAGAAGGCCTCCCCCTTTTGAGCAGTAGAGGGATGAGATGAGGGTTGGTGGGGGCCATGTAAGAATGCGAGGGAGAGGGAACTGGGATTGATTTATAAAATAATATTGTTTCTAATTTAAATTAAAAAAGGAAAAACAAGCATATGCAAGCTATACTCTGCATATCAAATATCATCTCCTACCTATTTCCATATGGTCTCTGAGTTGAAAATGAAGCATTTCAAAATGCAAGGAAAATGTGTTTAAGAGATAATTATTTCATAATATGGAAAAAACCTTTAAATTTGGGTGTCCACAAAATAATTTTATTAAAAAATTACTATGCCCATTTTATGTAATCTTTTTTGCATAACAATATGGGAATTAAGTGGTCACAAAAGAGTCATATATATATATAATCTTATGATTCAGCAGTTTCATAGTAATGTATTCTGATTATTTTCTCCCCAACTACTGTCTCTCCCCATCACTATCAACAGTCCCTATTTCCACCAGTTGGTTTTGTTTTGTGTCTCGTTTATTCTGCCAGGGCCATGTTCATGAGGGTTGGATTGTAACCATCTCTCAGAGCTTCTGGAGTCAGCAGTGGGTACACAGCAGAATCAACGATCCTCTCCTTCCCTGAGTCTAATAGTGGAGGACAGTTAAAAGCAAAGGATGATGTTGTTTATCTACTTTGAAATCAATCTGCCTTCTAAATATTTATGTTTATGCCTTAATCTTTAAGGCATAGCTGTTCAAAGTGAGAAAAAGTGATGGATGGATGGTATATTATCCCAAGACTTTGAGAATACTGTAGAAGAGGGTCCAGATATAATGTAAAAGCTATAAGAAAGGGAAAGGGACAGTGAAACATCATCTTCTGGGAAAGATACAGGCACTGCCTTAATGAACTCATGGTAGAAACAGATTCCTGTCCTGGGTCTGCATAAGAACAATCAGGCATAGATGGATGGAAGAGGAGTTCAGGTTCTACATCCCTCAGTGTTGAACTATGTGGTCCTTCTTAGGAAAAGTTCATAGACTTCCTAGATAAGAGCATAGAAGAACTAATTGACTATGATAGAAAAAATATATTTTAAAAAGTCATTGAGATAGATTTTCAGGGGTAGGTACAGACTTTTTAAGTGTCAGGAGAATGTCTGGTGAGAAGTCACTGCCCAAGGGACTTGAACAAGTACATAGGGTGAGCCCATCTGATAGCTGTCACCCAGCTCTGCACCTAGCCCATGCTATTCTTAAGGACCAGAAACTGAAGAGGTGTATGTGCTGGTAAATAAAATACCTGTGATGATCAAGTAAAGGATGAAGAATTCAGTTTGGAGTAACCTCATGGTGGTTGGGAAACAGAGGAAAGAGAATCAATATCCACTCCAAGTGTATAACTGTAATGGTCCAGCCTCCTTCCACTAGGCAGCATCTTCAAGCCATTAGTGTATAGACTTTTAGGGAACATCTACAATCCAAACTGTGATATAAAGGTGGTGCTGATTGAGGATGCTTAGATATAAAAGAAGATATTTTCTGATCCCTCTCTTGGTTCCTGGTGTGTGTGTAGCAGGTGTGGCCTAACAGAAAATTATTGCTCACTTAAACTGATATTTTTTAATCAGGGTATCTTATATGTGTATGAGTGTGTGTGTGTGTGTGTGTGTATTTTTCTTAAATAACTTTGTTAAAGGATATAGTTATATATTGCTCATGTAGTTAGAATGCTTTCCTTATTTTCTGTTATTTTTACACCTGACAAATCAGATACATCGATGGTTTTCCTCATTAAACACAAATAAATCCCCACAAAGGATCAAGCAAATCTTCAGTCAAGCTGTAGTTCAATCCTGTTTGGGAAGACAGAGTTTAAACATGGGAAAAGGAATTTCAAACCAGATAATAAATTTTGGGAACAGCCAGGAATCAGAGACAGACCTGAATCATGTCCATGACACATAGCAAGAGTCAGCACAAGTCAGAGACAAGAACCAGTAATTTAAATCAAGACCCAAGGACCTTGATTTTCCTTTTTAGGGTGTTCACTTTGGAGGAAAGTTATGTGATTATCACTTATCAATAATATGCTAGCTGAAAGAGGGTTAGTGCTGGAATGTTGACAAGGGTACTCTGCAAGAGGGAAAAGATAGATATTTTCCCAAAGTCTCCACATTGCTTCCTCCCTGTATGGGATTCTGGGGTTGCCCCGTAGCATTAGCCATCCTAGGGTCTATAGATAAACCATGCGTGGGAACTTTCTATTTTCTGTTTGCACAAATGAGAAGAGTACGTAGAGAAAGGCAGCCTAGCATTACTATTGAATGCTAAGTGCAGAGGATAATTGACTGTTGATAGCAAGTAAAGTGGAAAATCTCTAAATTGACTTCTTATCACTGTTAATTATCATTCTAGTAAAAAGGTGAAATAATTCTTGACCTTCCCATACAGATAAAGATTTTTCTTTGAGAGGGGAATAGCATAAGTTCTAATCAACTTCACTTTTTTCTATAAAATCAGGTAATGTCCATCAATTCTCAGCTCAATATATAACTCACGAGCTCATTGTTATACATATGAGCTAAAGAAAATATTTAGAAAATTACTATTATCATATACTACCAGAGTAACTTGGAGACTTTCTTTTTAAAAACTAGTAACATATTTATATTACAACCATAATGGCTGGCAGAACTAGATCACATTAATTGGTCAGGAGCAAATTATACAACAGAATGGATAAAACAGCTACAGATGTATTAATTAAGGTAATCTAAATGCATATAAATAAACATGGAATAACGTATGTATTTAATGACATATCATAGTTAAAAAGAATTTTTAAAAAGTGCTTGAAACCACATTAAACATGAGATCCGAGAATAGCTTGTTATCCTCGGCAGAATAAAATGTTCTATGAATAGTAGAGCTAGCTGTAGAAAAAATTAAAGGCAGAAATATGTATATACATATATACACATACATGTATATATATATATGATAATATGTTATAATCAATGAGGAGCTATCATATTTGAGCAGGTGCCATACTAAACTTTATGAGAGTTTGAATACTAAAGGTGTTTATATTTTGTGTTAACATGACATAACTGCAAGGAAAGAAAACACAAGAAAAAGTTTAAGTAAGGATAATGCTTCAGGTCTTACTGAAGAGATGAGTTATAAATAAGACTTTAAGAAAATGAATTAAAACTCTGGTATCATAGAGTGGTAATATTAGAATCACAGTGAATGAGAATCTAATTCTAAGAAAAATACATGTCATTTCCACATTAACACTGACAATCCCAAGTAACCCTGAGGTTATAAGGAATTGTTTCACTGGTTACTTTAAAGCTTTGAATAAAAGGCATTATTTACACATCAAATACAATATACCAAATCAACATCCCATTGTTAGAGGAGTGAAAGAGAATTTATTGTCAGTTGTAACAAAGTAGGTCCTAAAACTGACCCTAGTATTTCACTATTTATTTGTTTGTTTGTTTATTTGTCCATTTATTTATTTTTGGCCTACTTGAAAAAAATCAATGGGCCATAAATTAAGGGTAGAAATTTTGGTTCTTTTATAAGTAAGCATTAAGTTATTCCTGTGAGATGACTCAGAAGTTGCACTCTGACAACCTGAGATCAGTCTCCCCCTTGAGAACTCACATGGTGGAATTTTAAGACTGAACCTTATATATTGTTCTCTGACCTCCACTCATATGCCAAGGTATCTAGGCTCCCCAGCAACAAATAAAGATGTATAGAAATGCTAACAAAAAGAGCCAGAACCAAATTTATTAGACACTTTTAAGTTTCGTATTTATAGCGAAGATTCCATTCTTACTGAAAAGATAGAATAAGCATCTATGAAAAATTGTCCTTTATGTGAAAGTCAGAATCACAATGTTCATGAATGAGAACCAACATTTCCTATTCTGACAGAATGGCATAACATAATTGGTCATGCAATTCACATCTACAAGAGTTTATTGACAGAAAAGATAGTCAAGACACCTTTCTTTTCTGTGAAGGCATTACATAGTTAGTTTGTTCTCACTTAGTACAGACAAAACTTTGCTGTTTTTCAGTTGAGTCTACTTTTGTTGAACTTTCTTTAGCACTTGAAGGATGCTGTTCTACATGAGGCATGTTCTACATGAAAGAAAACCATGAGGCAAATTATTCCAAGGGTTTATTTTATGGACTTTGTGTTTTCTGATGGCAAACCACCTACTGCCTTTGAGAGTACCAGGAAGAGTGTCCTATCTTCTAGAATAGAGCAGCCATTCTGCTGTGCAACATCAGCAGGTAGTTATCATTCAAAGGTGCACATTTGCTGGGATAATTTTTTGACAGCCTGCATCTTTTTAAACTAAGTATCAGCTTCAAATACAAGAACATTTCCAGTGCTCAGAATCTGCAAATTTAATGTCAGATAAATGTGAAAATGTATGAATACTTAAATGAAGATAATGAATAATCCAAAACACAGTGATACCAAACTCTTGTAAAAATACTCACCGTATTTTAGAAAAACTGTCTCTAGTAGTGAAATGCCATGGTCTCCTTCCCTGGAAATATGAGCCTGGCCAACAAGTAAAGACATTACAAATTAATGGCAGTTTCCAGAACTGGGAAAAATCCATTCATGCATTTACTTTGGCTCTAAGGAAAAAATATGATGAAAGATAGTCTATGTACCTGTATTTGTGAGTGTTAGTACTAAGAACCACATGAAAAATTCCAACTCATTTGTGTGATTTAAAAAATATTGACTCTTTCAAGACCTGGAAATGGAAACAGAACCAATAAAGAAAGCACAAACTGAGGAATTAAGGGAATGAAAAATTTAGGAATTAGAACAAGAACTACAAAAGCAAGCTTCACCAACAGAATATAAGAGATAGAAGAGATAGTCACAGCCATTGAAGATACGATAGAACAAGTGGAGACATCCATCAAAGAAAAAAATTTAAATCTAAAATATTCCTGACAGAAAACATACAGGAAATCCAGGACACTATGAAAATACCAAACCTAAGAAAATAGGAATAGAAGAAAGAGAAGATTCCCAGCTCAAAGTCCCATAAAATATTTTTTTTTGGGTTTTATGAGACAGGGTTTCTCTGTATTGTTTTGGAGGCTGTCGGTCCAGCTTGGCCTCGAACTCACAGAGATCCGCCTGCCTCTGCCTCCCAAGTGCTGGGATTAAAGGCATGCACCACCACCTCCCGGCCCCATAAAATATTTTTTAAAAAATTATAGTAGAAAAATTTTCTAACCTAAAAAAGAAAAAGATGCCTATATAGGAACAAGAAGCATGCAGAACACCAAATAGACTGGACCAAAAAATACCCTTGCCCATAATAATAAAAACATTTAATATACAGAATATAGAATATTAAAATTGGCAGATGGAAAAAAACAGAAGAATATAAAGGAAGGCCTATTATAATTATACCTGTCTTCTCAGTGGAGTGTCTAAAAGCCAGAAGGGCCTGGACAGATGTGTTACAGATTCTAAAAGATCACAGATGCCAGCCTAGACTACCATATGCAGTAAAATTTGCAATCCCGTAGATGGAGAAAATAAGAAATTCCAGGATAAAGTCAAATTTAAGCAGCATCTGTTTATAAATCTAACCCTGTAGAAGGTGTTAGAAAGAAAATTCCTCCCTAAGGAGGATTAACTCTACCTATAAAAACACAGTAAATACTCTCAAACCAGCAAGACCAAAAGAAGGGAAGTAAGAGTACTTACACACACACACACACACACACACACACACACACACACACACACACACACACCACTAACAACAACAATAACCACAACAAAATAACAGGATTAAATAATCATTGGTTATTGATAGCTTTCAATATCAATGGTCTGAATTTCCCAATAAAAAGTCACAGACTACCATAATGGAAGTGAAAACAGGATCCATCCATCTGCTGCATTCAAGAGACATACAGCATCAAATATAACCATTACCTCAGAGTAAATGGTTAGAAAAAGATTTTCCAAGCAAATTAACTTACAACGTAAGAAGGAAGCTGGTGTAACCATTTTAATATCTAACAAAATAGATATGGTAATTTGAATGCCACTCATATGGAGTGGCACTATTAGGAGGTGTGGCTTCTTCTGGGGAAAGTTTTGAGATCCCTATGCTAAGGATACTACCCAGTTTTCCCAGTCTACTTATTCTTGCTTGAAAGATGTAGGATCTTAGCTACTATTCCAGCAAAACATATGTCTGTATGGGGCCATGTTCCTCTTCATGATGATAATAAACTGAACCTCTGAAACTGTAAGCAAGCCACCCCAATTAAATGTCTTTCTTATAAGAATTGCCATGGCCATGGTGTCTTTTCACAGCTATAGAAAATAAAATAATAAATAAACAATCCTAAATAAGATAATAGACTTCAAGCAAAAACCAATGAAAAGAGATGGAGAAGGATGCTCATACTTATCAATGCAAAAATCCATGAGAATGACATTTCATACCAGAGCCCAGCTCCAGATGAGGACAGGGTTTTAAGACAGGTGGATGTCAGAGTGGCAAAGGGAGGAATGATACACAGACACATCTAAGCTTTGTTTTAGGTGAAATGGACAGAGAGAAAGCGTATTTCTAGAAGAGACAAAGGTCCCAGCAGGGGATGTGGGCCAGGCAGCCTGACTGATTAGCAGCCAGAGTGCTTCTTTATTTATACAGAATTTAGTAAGTAGGAATACGTTCCTGTTGTTCCAAAACAGACCATACCATTTTTGTTTTTGAAATGTATTTCACTTCCTTTTGCTCATCTTTTAGTCATTATTAATAGACTACGACTAAACAGTTGTCATTTCCAATAATTTTCCCTCAAGTTTTGACATCATTGATAAACAGTTATCTTTCATAACAATTTTTGCTCATCAGACCCATAACCTAATGTTTAAGAATCTAGAGGCATATGACAGCTTGTTCTCAGACTTGTAGCTTTTGTGCCTACAAGGACATCAAAACAAAATCTCCAAGCTAGTCTGGGCATATTGCCATGCCCTGAACAGTGTATTAACTCTTAATGGTCAGAGTGCCCAGGAAATATCCTCAGGCCAAAGCTGTTGCAGTTATTATTCAAATTCTGCTATAATTCAATGTGTGCATTTTATGTCTTTATAGAATTTGTCTGTATGTCTAATCCTGGAATTGTTTGTTCCTTGGTCATATGACACCACTGTGGCTCTGCATGTGTTGACTTTTCTAAGGAGGGCGGTCCTGCCATCTTGTGAGAGCCCACATCTGAGTCTCTGTTCAGCGGACCCAGGCTCCAGCTGTGGCCACTACATAAGGATTTTTATACAAAAAAAATAAAGTGAATTAAGTCTGTTAGAAAAAAAGAAGGGAGGTCCCAAGATCTTATTTTTTTTTTCGTCTTTCTGCTCCATCCTTTGTTCACCAATATTAGTATCTGTGTAGGGTAGAGGTAACTTTAGCTAATCTAACTTTGTTACTGTATATGCCAAGTAATGCATGAATATGTAGGGGCAATAGACTTGCAATCTGAACTGTAGCCAACGCCTCTAGCATACTGTATCTTGTTGAGCGTTTTTGAGTTTACTTTGTTTTGCATATCTTGTTCCTTGTACAAGGACATATGTTTCAAGAGAGTCTCTGTCATAAACTCATGTTTCAATATGGTCTCTGTCATTACTAAAATTCTAAAAAGAGTCAAAGAACATCAAAAGTCCTAGAACTGTTTACCTTCAGAAGGGTACCAAGGCCTCTCATTAACTTAGTAATCAAGAATCTTTTCCTTGTTCATACTAGTTTCATGTTTCTGAGGCAAAACACAAATTCCTAATGATTCAGTCATAGTCTGTCGGCTTCCAAAATTTCCCTAAGTTTTTTTCTCTAAATGATTTGTTCCAGATCCTATATCTCATGCTCATTAGTACCACTTAAGTAATAATTTCTATAGGAGACTCAATTTCTTATACAGATAGTTCTCCCAGGGAATCACCATAAGTTTTATTCTTCATATCAGCTTTCAAAAGAATTGCTACATTGTCCCAGTTCTAGCCTTCGATGAGGGGCCCTTAATAACAAGGAGTTGAAAGATTTAAAAAGTTGAAGACATTGGCAGGAGTTGTGTAGCAACTTCCAGCAAGGGTAGTGAAGCATCAGTCCAAGTTATCTGAGCACTGTGATCTTTGTCAAGCAGCAGCTCCAGGAAGCTTAGCATTGCCAATTTCAGTTCTTAATTTCTGTACCCCAAACACAAGGGTACCCACTTTTGTAAAAGAAATACCACTACAGCATAAATCACACATTGATTCTCACACACTGGTATGGTAAGACCTCATTATCCCCCTCTTACCAATGGATAGGTCATCCAGACAGAAACTAAAAAATACTGGAGCTAACAGATCTTTTAAGCGAATGGATTTAACAGATATCTGTAGAACATTTCACCCAAGCACAAAAGAATATATCTTCTTCTTAGCACCTCATGGGACTTTGTCCAAAATTGACTGTGACACAAAGTAAGTCTCAACAGATAAAATAAGATTAAAATAATCCCCTGCATCCTATCTGACCACCATGGATTAAAGCTGGATATCAACAACAACAGAAACAATGCAAATTTACAAACTCATTGGATCTGAACAACTCTTTATTGAATGATAATATGGGTCAACACAAAATAAGGAAAAAATAAAGACTTTCTAGAATTAAGTAAAAATGAATACACAGCATACCTAAAATTCTGGACACAATGGAAGTGAACCAAAGGAAAGTTCATAGCATTAAGTGCCTACATAAAGAATTGGAGAGATCTCATACTAGAAACTTAAAAATTACACCTGAAACCTACAGAACAGAAAGAAGTGAGCACATCCAAGAGGAGTAGAAGGCAGGAAATAATCAAATCAAGGACTGAATTTGATAAAATAGAAACAAAGAGAAGAGTACAAAGAATCAATAAAACAGAGTTGGTTTCTTTGAGAAAATCAACAAGATAGACAAGCCCTATCCAAACTAATTAAAACATGGAGAGAGAAAAATCATAATTAACAAAATCAAAAGCAATAGGAAATATGACAATAGACATGGAGAACTCCAGACAATCATAAGGACATACTTTAAAAACACCACCAAATTGTAAAATCTTAAAGAAACGGATAATTTTTGCAGAAGGTACCACTTACCAAAGATAAATCAAGATCAGATAAACAATTTAAAATTACCTATGGTGAAATAGAAGCAGTCATTAAAAGTCTCCCAACCAAAGTAATGGGGAAGACAAAATGGTTCAAGTGCAGAATTCTACCAAACTTTCAAAAATGTTAATGACAATACTCCTCAAATTATTCCACAAAATAGAAACAGAAGGAACAGTGCAAAATTAATTTTATGAGGCCATAGTTACCTTGTCACCCAAACCACATTAAAGACCCAACAAAGCTAATTACAGGTCAGTTTCCCTTAGGAATATAGATAAACATACTTAATAAAATCCTTGCAAACTGAATGTAAGAATATGTCCAAAAGATCTTAGCCATGATCAAGTAGGTGTCATCCTTGTGTAAAT